GTTCTCTGCTCCTTGAAGACCAGGGAACATCTGCTGTACACTGATGTTCTCTGCTCCTTGAAGACCAGGGAACATCTGCTGTACATTGATGTTCTCTGCTCCTTGAAGACCGGGGAACATCTGCTGTACACTGATGTTCTCTGCTCCTTGAAGACCAGGGAACATCTGCTGTACATTGATGTTCTCTGCTTCTTGAAGACCGGGGAACATCTGCTGTACATTGATGTTCTCTGCTCCTTGAAGATCAGGGAACATCTGCTGTACATTGATGTTCTCTGCTCCTTGAAGATCAGGGAACATCTGCTGTACATTGATGTTCTCTGCTCCTTGAAGACCAGGGAACATCTGTTGTACATTGATGTTCTCTGCTCCTTGAAGACCGGGGAACATCTGCTGTACATTGATGTTCTCTGCTCCTTGAAGATCAGGGAACATCTGCTGTACATTGATGTTCTCTGCTCCTTGAAGATCAGGGAACATCTGCTGTACATTGATGTTCTCTGCTCCTTGAAGATCAGGGAACATCTGCTGTACATTGATGTTCTCTGCTCCTTGAAGATCAGGGAACATCTGCTGTACATTGATGTTCTCTGCTCCTTGAAGACCGGAGAACATCTGTTGTACATTGATGTTCTCTGCTCCTTGAAGACCAGGGAACATCTGTTGTACATTGATGTTCTCTGCTCCTTGAAGACCGGGGAACATCTACTGTACATTGATGTTCTCTGCTCCTTGAAGATCAGGGAACATCTGCTGTACATTGATGTTCTCTGCTCCTTGAAGATCAGGGAACATCTGCTGTACATTGATGTTCTCTGCTCCTTGAAGATCAGGGAACATCTGCTGTACATTGATGTTCCTGCTCCTTGAAGATCAGGGAATATCTCTTGTACACTGATGTTCTCTGCTCCTCGAAGACCGGGAGACACTTCTTAACTAATATTACTCCAGCCTGACATTATCCAAGACTCTGTCTTCATAAATCTTAACCACATTTGATGGGACTGTTGTTAGCCATAAAAAAATTTTACTGGAAACGCTAAATCCGTACGGGAGGTCACAGAGCAAGGAAGGGTGGGAAAGGAAGGAAAGGGCAATCAGGTTCGATCCAAGGAAAGGTGACCGATAGCTCTACTCCCTTGGATTGAGAGCTCTTCACCGATATCCAAGACTCAACAAGTAGGGAAAGAGTCTTGCAGAGTCTTGTAGACTCTTGTAGTCTTGCAGAATCTTGCAGAGTCTTGTAGGGTCTTGCAGAATTTTGTAGATTCTTGTAGAGTCTTGCAATCTTGCAGAGTCTTGTAGGGTCTTGCAGAGTTTTGTAGATTCTTGTAGAGTCTTGCAGAGTTTTACAGAGTCTTGTAGAGTCTTGTAGAGTCTTGCAGAGTCTTGTAGAGTCTTGCAGAGTCTTGTAGAGTCTTGCAGTCTTGTAGGATCTTGAAGAGTCTTGTAGAGCCTTGTAGAATCTTGCAGTCTTGTAGTCTTGTAGAGTCTTGTAGAGTCTTGCAGTCTTGTAGAGTCTTGCAGTCTTGTAGAGTCTTGCAGAATCTTGCAGAGTCCAGCAATTTCTGCAAGATACGTTACAGAAAATTGCAAGATATGTTGCTCCATTGCAATGTATCGTGTGACCTTTAAAGTGTGGTTGGAGGAGGTCATCTGTTTGGTCACTCCCACACACGTGTGACCTTAGAAGTGTGGGTGGAAGATTAAGCTATCTCTCTGATCAAACACTGGCTTCCACGATACACATACTAATTTGTGTACGTATAATTGATTGTCAGTCCTAATACACTAATAAGTGTATTTATTTAGGTGTATGTATACAATAATGTAGTTTTTAGTGTATTTACAGTCGTAATGAGTTGCCTTTGTCGGAAACAGAATAGCGGTATTTGTGTTGAGTGTAACAGAACCTCTGTTGCGTGGAGTAACAGTACCTCTGTTAAATAAGGAATAACAGTAAAATAACGGTACGCTTTTCCAATAAAGAATAACGATACGCCTCTAATAAAGAATAACGATACGCCTCTAATAAAGAATAACGATACGCCTCTAATAAAGAATAACGATACGCCTCTAATAAAGAATAACGGTACGCCTCTAATAAAGAATAACGGTACGCCTCTCTTAATAAAGATTCCGCACAATTCCTCTGTCGACTAAAGAGAAACATTGCACAAATAACCCGCAGAAAGGAAAGAAATTAATGGTGACGTTTGGGTCCGACTATGACCATAATTCCGCAAGTAGTAACACATTTCCTCCGTGAACCAGACATGCTTGCAACATTACTCTCCTTATTCTAGCCGGTGAGGTCACTCAGAGTGCCTCAAGGCTCTCTCATCCTCCTTGTTGACGGCCGGACTACTAGTAGGAAGGCATTCTCGGAACGCCTTATACTGACGGCCGGACTAGCAGTAAGGCATCCTGGAAACGTCTTATACTGACGGCCGGACTAGCAGTAAGGCATCCTGGGAACGTCTTATACTGACGGCCGGGCTAGCAGTAAGGCATCCTGGAAACATCTTATACTGACGGCCGGGCTAGCAGTAAGGCATCCTGGGAACGTCTTATACTGACGGCCGGTCTAGCAGTAAGGCATCCTGGAAACGTCTTATACTGACGGCCGGTCTAGCAGTAAGGCATCCTGGAAACGTCTTATACTGACGGCCGGACTAGCAGTAAGGCATCCTGGGAACGTCTTATACTGACGGCCGGGCTAGCAGTAAGGCATCCTGGAAACATCTTATACTGACGGCCGGGCTAGCAGTAAGGCATCCTGGGAACGTCTTATACTGACGGCCGGTCTAGCAGTAAGGCATCCTGGAAACGTCTTATACTGACGGCCGGTCTAGCAGTAAGGCATCCTGGAAACGTCTTATACTGACGGCCGGACTAGCAGTAAGGCATCCTGGGAACGTCTTATACTGACGGCCGGGCTAGCAGTAAGGCATCCTGGGAACGTCTTATACTGACGGCCGGGCTAGCAGTAAGGCATCCTGGAAACATCTTATACTGACGGCCGGGCTAGCAGTAAGGCATCCTGGGAACGTCTTATACTGACGGCCGGTCTAGCAGTAAGGCATCCTGGAAACGTCTTATACTGACGGCCGGTCTAGCAGTAAGGCATCCTGGAAACGTCTTATACTGACGGCCGGACTAGCAGTAAGGCATCCTGGGAACGTCTTATACTGACGGCCGGGCTAGCAGTAAGGCATCCTGGGAACGTCTTATACTGACGGCCGGGCTAGCAGTAAGGCATCCTGGAAACATCTTATACTGACGGCCGGACTAGCAGTAAGGCATCCTGGGAACGTCTTATACTGACGGCCGGGCTAGCAGTAAGGCATCCTGGAAACGTCTTATACTGACGGCCGGTCTAGCAGTAAGGCATCCTGGAAACGTCTTATACTGACGGCCGGACTAGCAGTAAGGCATCCTGGGAACGCCTTATGCCGAGACGGACGAGACGCAGCATCCAGGTGCGGGAGATAACGTTCTCTCAGGCAGCCTCGTGTTTGTGCTGATCACCGCCAACAACACTGCCGCTCGATGCTACTCTGCTGAATTAGCCTTGAAACTCTTGTTTTGTTTTGTTTTTCATTACAGATTTTTTAATTATTAAAGCTATTATTATTGGTTTACAATGGAGAAATTGACTTAGTAAAATAGTATTGTTATTATTATTATTATTATTATTATTATTATTATTAGTAGTAGTAGTAGTAGTAGTAGTAGTAATATGATTATGGGGAAGTACGCATACAAATATGCAATCACACACACACACACATGCACACTCACCGGGTCAGGAGCCATGAATCGACCCCTGCAATCACAAATTGGTGAGTACACACACACAGGCACTTATCACTAGTAAAGCAGACACTCATCACTAGTAAAGTACTCATCACTAATAAAGCAGGTACCTTTACCTGATTACGAAGAACTCAAAAGTAATTCTAAGAATGTCAACAAAATCTTTATCTAAAACAAGGAGCTTAAAACAGCGAGCTTAAAACAAAGACCTTAAAACAGGGACCTTAAAACAAGGAGCTTAGAACAGGGAGCTTAAAACAGGGAGCTTAAAGAAGGAGTTTAAAAACAAGCAACTTTAAAACAAGGATCTTAAAACAAGGGGCTTAAAACAGGAAGCTTAAAACAAGGAGCTTATATACAAGGAGCTTAAAACAAGGAGCTTACATACAAGGAGCTTAAAACAAGGAGCTTACATACAAGGAGCTTAAAACAAGGAGCTTAAAACATCCAACTTGAAACAGCCAACTTAAAACTACCAGCTTGAAACAACCAGCTTAAAACAACCAGGTCAAGATAATCAATTTAAAACAAGCAGCTTCAGACAATCAGCTTAAAACAAGCAGCTTAAGACAGCCAGCTCAGGTACTGAGCCCTAAGACTCCACGTGTTGGCTCCTCACAGATATAGATTGGTAGAAAGCGACTGTACGGTACTAAGTTACACCCTGGGGGAGGGTGGGGTGTTGTTGGGGGGGGCGGAGGGGGAGGAGGGGAGATTGAGAGGGGTGGGGAGACGAAGAATAGGGACGGGTGTGGGGAGAGTGAGAAGGTAGGGGGAATGTGGAGGTAATAGGAGGGGAGGGAGAGGCTGGAGAGGGAAGGAGGTGAAGCATAAGAACAAATGAAATTATAGGGGGAGGGGGAACTTTTTTGTTAGCGTGGCCTGGGGAGGGGGTTGAGGAGAGAGGAAGAGGAAGGTCAGTGGGGGGGTAGAAGGAAGGTCAGTGGGAGGGAGTAGGAGGAATAGAAAGGTCAGTGGGAGGGGGTAGAAGAAAAAGGAAGGTCAGTGGGAGGAATAGGAGTAAGAAGGTCAGTGAGAGGGGGTAGGTGAAAGGTCAGTGGGAGGGGTTAGGAGGAAGCTGACGGTCAGAAGAGGGTAAGAGGAAAAAGGTCAGAGGGAGAAGGTAGGAGGAAGAGTAAGAGGGGGCAGGGTAAGTTGTGAGGGGGGGGGGTTGTCATGGCATAAGGTCAGGTATAATATAAAGAGAGCGGTGGTGGTGGCAAAGTTCCCACTGAGTAAGAGAACTTCAGTCACCACACACCAGCTGCCCTTGTTTCTTCCAAGCAACTCCCACTACACTTGTAAACATGGTACGTGCTTCATATCTCTCTCTCTCTCTCTCTCTCTCTCTCTCTACCCCGCTCTTCTTAACTTACAGTCGACCAGTTAATACTTCATGGTCTCTTGGGATCTGTCATACCTGCTCCTGATACTCTGTACTGAGTTTGATATCCCCGTTCTTCCTTAGGTACAGTCTATTTACAGTTATATAACCCTGAGGCTGAAGAAGTATTTCCTAACATTCCTTTGGCTCATTTGTCGTGTTTTGCCTTTCATTTATGTCCCTTCCCTTCGTTTCTGTGTCCCGCATTTCAAACAGTCTGTCCCTATCCACCTTGTTATATCTTCTAAGTATCTTGTATGTCGTGGTTATGTGTCTATCTCTGTTCTCTCTTCTAATATCATTAGGGTTCAGTTTTTTCAGTAATTTAGTCACCTCAGGTCTGAAATTTCTCGAGTTTCTGAACGTTTTTAAGCAAGATGTGGGCTCTATGCTGGTGCTGCTTACTCTATGCTACGCCTGACGTGTGCGTAGAGTCTTACAGGATTTCTTTTATAAAGATCCTTAAAATTTAGCTCCGAGATTCGCCACTCTGGTACATGCTTATGCGTTTCGTGTGTAGCTCTAGTAATATGCTCGGTGTGATGTTCACCCTCGGATCATTCTAAACATTCAGCGGACGGAGGATCGAGCCTTCACCAGCGCTTGCGCTGAATGGTACTCATTGATTAACCCTTCATGAAAGTCAATGTCATCCAATGCGGTTTCTTATTCTCAGCCAAACTATGCAAAAACAACTTCGTGGAAACAAGATACGCTGCAGAGCAAGCTTGAGCCGTCGCAACATTTCGCTCTGTGCAGAGCTTTATCAAGATGACTCGACAAAACTCTACACAGAGCGAAAAGTTGTTTCAAAATTACTTAGCTCTGCAAAGTGTAGCCTAGTTTGCTACCGTCGACAGTACGAACATTTGGTGTAGGTCTGGTACAGTGCTCCTTCCTTCTTAAGTGGAAGTGATTTGAACCTGACTAGCTTAGGTCAGAAGGTAACCTGGACCTGCCTAGTATGGGCCAGTAGGCCTGCTACAGTGCTCATTCTTTCTGTTCTTATCCAAAAGCACGACCGCTATCGACAACAGCTGAACGAGTGGTGAATATTCAAATGGTATAAAATACCGACAGGTTGTTAGGTAAGACACATATGCAACAGTTAGAGTATTGTTCCATAGTCTGAAACAATATTGTTTCAGACTATGGAACAATACTCTTCTCCAGACTGAGGGACTGACCACCTCAAAACTTCAAGGGTGATGGACTGATTACATCGTCTTCAAGTATCTTCTGATTCTATCAACTTTTCTGTACTCGACTGAAGAAGCCTACTGTGTAGGCGAAACGTTTCGAAATAAAGATACCTAACTGTTGAACGAGTGCTGTTGTAGATTATCTTCCATCTTGTTTGTTACGTAGAATGACCTTAATTGACCTCACCTGACCGTCCCTCCTCCCTCCCTCTTCCCTGTTCATCCAAAGGTTAGGTCAGGTTCGTCAGGAAACAGGACAAATGTCAACCTCTTTGTCGTCTTTCTTCCCTATAGGCCTATATTTTAAATTTTCTTTCTATAGGCTTTTGCGTGTTTTCTCCTCGTATCTGAGTTGAGATTCCTTGGGAACCTTCCACTATGCTCGTTGCATGAGTGCAGTCACTAATCAATTTTCCACGCTAAATTATACACATCTTCGGAGAATAAGACGTACGTACGTACGTGTGAGGAGGATGGGGGGTGAAGGGAGAAAAGGTTTATGTATGTTAATATCAGTGTGTGGTGGGAGTTGTGTATATGTGTATGTGTGATGAAGGGATATAATAATAATAATAATAATAATAATAATAATAATAATAATAATAATAATACCACCTTTATTTACTACAAGTACATGTACATGGTATACAGTCCTATCTGACATCAATTACATACTACTATATAGAAAGCCCCTTGTTATGCTGAACATTTCGGGCAAATTAGGTCAGTGTCCCAGGATGCAACCCACACCAGTCAACTAACACCCAGGTACCTATTTTACTGATGGGGAACATAGACAACAGTTGAAAAGAAACACATGTATAAACACTCGGGGTGTGGGAGTCTGGTTTAAAAATCTAATTATTTTAATTCATACTGTGAGGATGGGCTATTGAATCATGTACTATACAGTGTCCCGTAACTCTGAAACCATAGTGGAAAATAAATAAAAACAAAACGGTAGTAATAAAGGCTTCTATTCACTGAATGTGTTCAAAATATTCATTCTTATTATTAACAGGTGAATACAAGAGAATTTTCTAACCAAGAAGTGCAAATGGTGTTATGAATGATGGTGCGACAAGCGCAGATAAT